TTTTTTTGGTTTTTCTCCGGTACCGGGAACCGAACTCACGACCTTGCGCTTGCCAGGCAAGCGCTTTTGCCGCTGAGCTAAATCCCCAGCCCCTTTAATGTGCTCTTAAGAGCTCCTGGTTCTAGTTGTAAGTATAGCATTCTTAGCAGAATTTGGCATTCTGAACTAAGGTTGTCTCAATGTCAATCTTCTCAGGTTAAAAAATTTACCAAAATGTACAATCTTCTTCCTGTAAAAATTGTAACAGATTTCTTGTTGCTAACTCTAAGCATGTCCATCTCTGAATCTAAAGTTTTCTCCTTCTGTATTGGGGGTCAACTCGCTGCTGCCTTCATTTGAACTGGAAAGAAAATAGGTTCTCAGATGTAGGCCCTTTCTTTTACTTGGCCACTTCTTGAATACTTGTATTTTATATCATCACTTTGGTGTTTCCTGGTGTCCCGTCAAAACTGTTTCCCTTGTTGACCATTTTATTGCTGTTTAAAAGGGGTAGAGGGTGATTCGAAATCCATACATGATTTTTCATTTTCCTAACACTTCTCAAGCGAACTATACTACATCTAAGCAATGAGGCTGAAAAGTCATATAACTAGAACAGTAAAGATTGAAAAAGAAAGATGCTGGCATTTGTTAGTTTTTTAAAAGCTCCTTATTTGCTGAACGCCATTCCAAGATTCCTTTGCTTCATGCCTCCCACTAGCTGTGATGGAGAAGCCCACTGCCAAACATGGGGTGCTGTTCCACTGTGCCCACAGAAAGCTTTCTCAGAACGCTTTTGGGCCTGGATAAAGCATCTTCAAGAAAATAACCCTTTGTCCTTCCCAGTGTAGGCCCAGCTTCATTTCTAGAACCACCTCAATGCTTCTATCTTAGAGGGTTCATACCCACTAGCACTAAAACCTTTATTTGTGGGCTACTGGTAAAATATTAGAAACATGGACTTAGCCTAGGGGTTGGTATTGGGATATTCTTATGCCAGTATTGACTAATAATTCACTGGGAAGACTGTTTGGACCATTTGAGTTTTGTAATCTTTGATTCCAAAGCTAATCCTCTGGCACTTCCAATAAATGAAAATTCTTAATTATCTGGACCTTTTCACAAGGGAGGCTTTTTTTTTTTTTAGCTTGGAGTCAGACAAGAGAATTTGATTCCTGTCAACTTTTGGTTTTCACTTCCTTCTTCTTCCCCTTCTCCCCCTACCCTAGGGCTACCAAGAAAAGAACAAATTTATTGCCGCACAAGGTAAAGTATGACAACTTTTTATTCTTGCTCTTAACCATGATCCAATGGTAGGCTTGAATTTTTTCTCCCCAAGTATTAAAAGGATTAATGAGAATGCTTTTCTGCAGCTTTTCTGTAGCTTTTCTGCAGTTTTATTACCACCTGGAAGAAGTATATTTTACTTTACAGGCTTACAACTAGGGCGTTCAGTGTGTGTGTGTGTGTGTGTGTTTGAGTTGCACTGTGCATAGGGTTTCACTATACAGTTCAGGCTGGCCTTGAACTCACTTTGTATCCCAGGTTGGCCTGGAGCTCATAGGGATCCTGCTGCCTCAGCCTCCCAAGTGCTAGGATTACAGGCCTGCACCACAATGCTCAGCAGGGTGTTCACCTTGATAGCTTACTATCCTGTGGTCCTTGAAAGATAAGTCCTCTTGTGTATGTGTTTTTAAAAGAGAAGGCTGTATGCACACACAACACAGTCTGCTGAGGCCCTCTCTCTGGGGCCAGTTAACCGTAGGCTCTACCCGCGCCACTTTAAGTTGAGTTTGGAGTTGGTCTCCACAGAGGACCAGCCACCCTACAGATCCAGTCTGGTTCTTCTCCCCAGCTTATGGGCCTGAGCTCCACTACCCTTCACAGATTGTGTCCTAGGAACCCTTAGATCAAAGCCCACTGCCATGGTCCTGTACGTGCTCTACATATATTTCCTAGCCAAAAGTATCTTGATGTTTGCATTATTGAAAATTTGAGGGGCTGAGGATATAGTTCAGTGGTAGTATGCTTGCCAAGGCTGTGGGTTTGATCTCAGCACTAGCCAAAAAAAAAAAA